CTATTCATTATGTTGCTAGGAGAACTGGATAACCACATGTAAAAGACTGAAACTGGACCTGCATCTTTCACCACTTACAAAAATGTACTCAAGATGGATAAAAGATTTTGATCTAAGACATGAAATGATAAAAATCCTAGAAGAATGTGTGGGAAAAACTCTTGAGGATGTCAGCCTGGGGAAAGATTATATGACGAAGACTTCAGTGCCAATCACAACCACCACCATATTAAACAAAAGGGACTTAATTAAACTGAAAAGCTTCTGCACAGCTAAGGAAACAACAATTAAAATAAATAGACAACCTGCAGAATGGGAAAAGAATCAACTAGAATCAACAGAGAATTCAAATTAATCAATAAAAAAGAGCAAACAATCCCGTTTATTACTGGGCAAAAGATACGAACAGAAACTTTTCTGAGGAAGACAGACAAATGGCCAAAAAACATGAACAAATGCTCATCATACCTAATCATCAGAGAGATGCAAATCAAAACCATCCTGAGATATCACCTAACCCCAGGGAGATTAACCCACATCACAAAGTCCCAAAGCTATAGATGTTGGCAGGAATGTGGAGAGAGTGAACAGTTTTACACTGGTGGTGGGACTGCAAACTAATATAGCTTCTTTCAAAACAAGTATGGAGAATCCTCAAAGATCTCAAATTAGATCTTCCATTTGATCCTGCAGTTCCATTACTAGGCATCTACCTAGAAGAAAAAAGAAATTTTATCATGAGGAAATTTGCACTATACTGTTTGTCTCAGCTCAATTTATAATTGCCAAGATTTGAAAACAACATAAATGCCCATCAACCCAGGAATGGATTAATAGACTATAGTATATGTATACTATGGAATACTATTCAGCCCTAAAAAGTGCAGACTTTACATCTTTTGTATTAACCTGGATGGAGTTGAAACACATTCTTCTGGCTTGGCGCCCTTAGTGGCTAGGGCGCCTGCCAGCCACATACACTGGAGCTGGCAGGTTCAAATCCAGTCCAGGCCTGCCAAACAACAATGACAACTACAACCAAAAAATAGCCAGGCATTGTGGTGGGCGCCTGTAGTCCTAGCTACTTGGGAGGCTGAAGCAATGCTTAAATCCATGAGTTGGAGGTTTCTGTGACACAATGGCACTCTACTCAGGGTGACAGCTTGAGACTCTGTCTCAAAAAAAGAAAAAGAGAGAAAAGAAAAAGAAACACATTCTTCTTAGTAAAGTATCACAAGAATGGAAAAGCAAATATCCAAGATACACAATGCTAATATGAAGCCAGTAGACAATCTATCCCATGTTCCCGTAAGAGAATAACTCAATTCATTCAAGGTGGGGGGAGGCGAACTAAGGGTGAGGGAATTGGGGAGGAAGGGGCCTGTGTGCTCCCACTCAATGGGCATAATGTAATTATATATAGTACCCCTCCTGGGTGCAGGACACAACTACAAGAGGGACTCTACCTAACAAATACAAATATTGTAACCTAGATGTTTGTACCCTCACATTAACCTGAAATTAAAAAACAAAACAAAACACTGATTACTGCTTGAACTCAGGCATTCAAGGCCAGCCTCAGTAAGAGAGAAACTCTGTCTCTAAAAAAAATAAAAAATAGCCAGGCATTGCGGCGGGCGCCTGAAGTCCCAGCTACTCAGGAGGCTGGGCAAGTGGAGCCCAAGAGTTTGAGGTTGCTGTGACACCACAGCACTTTACCCAGGGTGACAGAGTGAGACTCTGTCTCAAAATAAACCAAGCCAAAACAAACAAAAAAACACCAATTACTATGTTTCAGAGTTAAGCCAGTTGTCATTCTTAGAACCCATTGCCTAAAGAGGCAGTGACATCCCCAGGGGAAAGGACCATACAAAGCCAAGGTGAGATATATACACAAAATAGATACTCCAGTGTTTCACAGAAGAGATCCTTGGTCATGCATTTGGTAAATGTGGATTGGGGTGTAGAAGATTCTAAGGTATGTTGAAGGATGTCAGAAATAGGGTTTGTGTTGGCAAGGAAATATGGAAACCGAAGCATCCTCATGTAGTCATTGTCTTTCTGTTAGAAATGGAATATATTAGGTGACGCCTGTAGCTTGGTGGGTAGGGTGCCGGCCACAAGGCTGGCGGGATTGAACCCAGCCCAGGTCAGCTAAAATCAACAATGACAACTGCAACAACAACAACAAAATAGCCGGGCATTGTGGCAAGGGCCTGTAGTCTTAGATACTTGGAAGGCTGAGGCAAGAGAATCGCTTAAGCCCAAGAATTTGAGGTTGCTGTGAGTTGTGACACCACAGCAGTCTACCGAGGGTGACATAGTAAGACTGTCTCAAAAAAAAAGAAATATATTGGAAGATATGTGAGGAGGGGAGGTAATAAACAGAGTTCTACTAAAGGACTGGCTTACAGAAAAACACACACACACATACAATGAAGTACAACATGACACTCCCTAGGATTGCTATAATAAAGAAAAGGAGGCCCACAGGTCGCTCACACCTATAATCCCAGCACTCTGGGAGGTTGAGGCAGGTGGACTGCTTGAGCTGAGGAGTTGAAGACCAGCCTGAGCAACAGAAAGACCCCGTCTCTACTAAAAATAAAAAAACTAACCAGGTACGGTGGCAGGTGTCTATAGTCCCAGCTATTCAGAAGACTGGGGCAAGAAAATGGCTTGAACCCAAGAATTTGAAGTTGCTGTGAGCTATGATGACACCATGGCACTCTATCCAGGGCGACAGAGTAAGACTTTGTCTCAAAAAAAAAAAAAAA